CAGCACATCATCAATCCACTTTTTAAGATTTATTTTATTTATTTTTTATGATTTGACAGGTAGAGTTAGACAGAGAGACAGAGAGAGAGACAGATCTTCCTTCCGTTGGTTCACCCCCCAAATAGCCGCTATGGTCGGCACTGTGCTGATCCAAAGCCAGGAGCCAGGTACTTCTTCCTGGTCTCCCATGCGGGTGGAGGCCCAAGCACTTGGGCCATCCTCCACTGCATTCCCGGGCCACAGCAGAGAGCTGGGCTGGAAGAGGAGCAACCGGGACTAGGACCCGGCGTCCATATGGGATGCCGGCACTGCAGGCAGAGGATTAACCAAGTGAGCCACGGGGACGGCCCCGATTTATTTATTTATTTATTTGAAAGGTAGAGTTAGAGAAGGTAAGGCAGAGCAAAGAAAGAGGTCTTCCATCCACTGGTTTACTCCCAGATGGCTGCAACAGCCAAAACTGGACCGATGGGAGGCCAGGAGCTTCTTCCAGGTCTCCCATGTGGGTGCAGGGGCCCAAGGACGTGGGCCATCCTCCACTTTTTGCTTTTTCCAGGTGTATTGGCAGGGAGCTGCATCGGAAGTGGAGCAGCTGAGACTAGAACTGGCACCCACACAGATGCAGGCACTGCAGATGGCAGCTTTACCCGCTTCACCACAGTGCAGGCCCCATCATTCCACTTTGTAACCCAAGATCCATTCTCTTGACTACTGTTTTCCAGTCACCTTCATCAGAGAGAGAGAGAGAAAAAAAAAAAAACACTTCTGATGATCATTAATGCAATCATCTTGAAATCTAACCTTTACAGGTCACTGGTTGCTAAGTGTGGAGAAGTGATAGGTTACTATAATGAGGTAGCAGGAGGGAATTTAAGCAAGGGGAAGGGTGATGAAAAGTGTTCTGCATCCTGACTTCAATGGTGGTTACAGGACTCAGTGCACTGGTCAGAAATCACAAAACTGTATACTTATTGAATGTCAATTTAAAATGGTTTTCAGTTGCAAAAGATCTTTAGCCTATTCTAGCTAAAGAGCAAATCAAAACAGACACAGATGAATTTTTACATCCAAGATGTTATACAAGTCACATTCTATATATTACCCTATAATTAACATAAGTCATATCCAATTTTAAAACACTTCTGATTTATTCAAGCTCAAAATGTCAATACTATTAAAAAAAAAAGAGGCACTGCTTTTCTATAATAGAAGCAAAAAGACTTTAGAAATGCGCTTACATCAAGTCCCAATGTAAGTGGTACAAAACCATGTACTTACAAAAGGAAGCTTCATCGCATTTTGGGCTTGGCTTTACAGAGCTTTATTCTGCAGCCTAATGAGATTTCTTAACGTGCACGAATTATTGTTCTTGGCCTCTGGAAAGTAATACATAAACAGAAGACTTTACAGATTTAAGAAGCCTTAAAATGATTAGACATGCACGTGTCTACTTAAAGGTGCCTCCGTTTTACATATTTTTAAAAATTTATTTATTTATAAGTAAGTTACACAGAGAAGGAGAGACAGAGAGAGAAAGAAAGAATGAAAGAGAGAGAAAGAAAGAATGAAAGAGAGAGAGAAAGAAAAAAGAAAGAGGAGAGACAGAGAAAGAGAGAGGGAGGTCTTCCATCCGCTGGTTCACTCCCCAGTTGGCCACAACTGCTGGTGCTGAGCCAATCCAAAGCCAGGAGCCAGGAGCTTCCTCCGGATCCCCCAAGTGGATGCGGGGGTCCAAGGATCTATGCCATCTTCTACTGCTTTCCCAGGCCATAGCAGAGAGCTGGGTTGGAAGTGGAGCAGCCAGGACTCGAACCGGCGCCCATATGGGATGCTGGCAGTACAGGCGGCAGCTTTACCCTCTACGTCACAGTGCTGGTCCCTGTTTTGCATTTTTAAAGCCATACGTTTAATTCATAAAATAGTAATTCATAAACGACATAGAGGCAAAGGTGAAGTCCCAACACAAACATGTTTTATCATTTTCATTGCTTATTTTCACCACATGCAGAAGAGTTGGCCACCAAATAATTAGCCTTTCTTTCTAAATTAAAATAACCTAGAGAGAAACAAAACAATGTACAAATAAGCAATGTAAAAATAAAGTAAGTCCTGAGCCAGCACTGCGGCATAGGGGCTACGCCTCCTCCTACAGCACTGGCATCCCAGATTGGCACTGGTTCTAGTTCTGGCTGCTCCACAGCCGATCCTGCTCTCTACTATGGCTTGGAAAAGCAGTGGAAGATGGTCCACATGCCTGGGCCCTGTATCCGCGTGGGAGATCTGGAAGAAGCTCCCAGCTCCTGATAGGCTCAGTTCCAGCCATTGCGGCCATTTGGGGAGTGAACCAACGGATGGAAGAGCTTTCTCTGTATCTCCCTCTCTGTGTCTGTAACTCTGCCTCTCAAATAAATAAATAAAATCTTTAAAAAAAAAAATAAAGTCCAAATGCCTATCAAGAGGTAAAGGTATAAACAAATTACTGTCTACCTTCACACTGCAATACTGCTCAGTAATTTAAAAAGAATGAGTTATTGATACCTGCAGCAACAGATGGCTCTCAAAATAATCACGATGTGTAGGAAAAGCCAGATTCCTCCTCCCATAGAACACACATACTGCAAGATTCTATTTAGATAGAAACTTAGAAAATACAAACTCATCTCCAGTGATAGGCCAGTGGCTGCCTGCACAAAAGCCACAGGACGGATGAAAAAGGGGAAGAAACCACCTTTGGGGAGGGTGAACACGTTCATTATCTTGACGGTGCTGACGGCTTCACTGGTGTATACACTAGAAGATACCAAACTGTACACTTTAAATACATGCAACTTATTTTTATGACAAATAGACCTAAAGAAAGCTGACTATAAAGGAAACACAAAGCATCTTCCTGGTCTAGTTATACCACCTTTTTTCCAAACAGTCAAGCAGGTGCATATCCTGCAAAGTTACAGGATGGCAGCACCCTTCCCCCAGCTGTTGCATGCACAAATCCAACATCAAATGATGCTAAGGCTTAGCTATAATAAAAAATAACAATTGTTAATTAATCTTGACATAGCTGTGACTACGAGTTAGGTACCATTTTTAAGCATTTCTATTGGATTAAGTTATCTGCATTCAACCCTATTTGACAGATGAGGAAGCTAAGGAGTTAATAATCTGTTCTAGGTCACACAGCTGGTAAGTGGAAGTGGTAGGATTTGCAGTCAGGGAATCTGGCTCCAGAGTTCATTTCCTTACCCACCATGTCTAATACCAAACAAAATATAAGATACAGTATGTGAAAATCATAAGCAATGAATATTGACCCTACATTTTTATTTCTCACATTCGCAGAACATGGGTTCAATACACCCCACACCATTCGCACGAAACTAAATAAGAAACAACAGGGACTTTCATTTCTCTTTTTCTAATCAATACGTGGAGGACACAGAGAAAGACCGGCTGGCCAACTTACTTAGGATAGAATAAATAAAGTTGGTCAGATACCGGGAAGTTGGTTCACTACATTCCCAATCCAATTATTCTTTCCAAAAAATCACAATTGTTTTAAACAAAACTATAAAGGAGTGAAAAATCTAGCAAAGAGCAACATGAGAAACATAAAACCACCTGCTGTTCTCTCACACTCTACCAGCTCCTGGTAACAGTCAGGAGGTCTTGAGTGTGGCTGATGCGGGAGCACCTGAAAAGCTCCCCAGGTGATCGTCCTGTGCAGCCAAGGCTGAGAACCCCTGATGCAGATTTCTCATTAAAGGAAGAGGCAGAAGAGAGCAAGGTGCCTCCAAAAGATTTGGTAAACCACAGCCCAAAGTTTTCAAATCAGTATTAAATTGCTGTCCACAGGCAGACTTTTGAGTTCAACTGTTAACAAATTAAAAGTCAAATATGCATGCAAGTCACAAGAAATCAAGAAGCATAGGAAGCATTTTCTTTTTTTTCCAAATGCAAATGAGCTGTAAACTAGATGTTAGGAGTTAAAAATAATACTACATTACAGATGTTGTAACGGATATTACATAAATGTGTACTGGACCGGTAAAACGGCTTTTCAGCTTTCTGGATGATGACTACATAATTATTCCAAACATGCACTGCATTTAATACACGCAATAAACCGAGAAGACATTGTGGATCTGGTTAAAAAGTGCGGATTGGGCCCATGTCCTGAATTAGTGCTCTCCCCAGTCAGCTGCAGCTCATGGGGAAGATTTGCTGTCAGCACATCTGGGTCTTGTAGCACAAACAAGCTCACAAACAAGGTGGTGCTGATGCTGCTGACAGGCAGGCCACACCTGGTCCAGGAGGACCTAAATCACTTGAATACTGGCTGTAATGCACCAGTCACTTGGCTTACAGATACGATTACATCTAAGACCTAAGATTTAAGTATCAACACAATTCATGCCTAGCACAGGCCTAAAGACAGAGGGGGACAGCAGATGGGTTAGAGAGAGGAGCAAGCAAAGTAGTACAGCAGTGCTAAGAACCGCACAATACCTGATTACCCCAACCCAGTACCCGTCACGGTGATGGGGTGCAAGCTCCATAACAGGTTTTCCGTTTGGGCTGAATTTGTATGGCCTAACACAAACTAGACACTCAGTTAACGCAGTGAGTACGTGAATGAATGGGACGTCGCATCCCAACACTGGGAAGAACGCTGCATTTGCACACATGGATGCAGGCAGCCATAATTTAATACAAATCCCTGGCCCATCCATTGGGCTCCAAAAAATGTCCTAAAAACAAACAAACAAACAAACAAAACAGATTTCTCCGGCGCATTTTCACTTTAAAGGGCAGGCATCCCGTACCCTGATGTTTAACACCTTCCTAGCTCTTTGAAAAACACGGAGCGGGGTGGAAGCCCAGGGAGGAGAATTAGGAAGACGCTAAAATTTGAAAGCAAAATTAAAAAGGGAAAGAGGCGAGGGCGAGCAGCCGAGTTCAAGTCAAGGCACATCTTGGGTCGTAGTCAGCTCTGTGCTTACCTAGGATGGTGGTGGGGTTTGGGTTCTGGCTTTTGTGTTTTGTAACTGCCCAGGGTCCCCGGCGGAGAAGCACCTGGCTGGGGAAACAGCCTAGGCAGGCAGCAAGCTCTGCAGCTAGCCAACTTTGAGGCGCTTGGGGATTTCGAGTTTCGCGTCAATTTCCTTTTTTTCCCAGATCTCCCCGCGCGTTTGGCATTCACAGCCGCCGCCCGAACGCAAGATGATCCGGGCAGCTTCGCCGCAGGCCTGAAGCCATTGCCAGGAGTTAAGATGGCGGCAAAACGGTAGGCGAGCTGCGAGAAGCCTACCCACAACAAAAATGGCTTCCATGACTGTGATGGCGGCTTTCCGGAGCCCAAAACAAACATGGCGGCAGAGGTTGTCCGTGCGGAGGCTGGGCACGCAATCGATGTGATTGGCTGGTAACGAATCACGGTTCCCGGCCAGAGCCGAAACGATCGAGAGAAAATTTAAACGTGGTTTCTGCGGTAGGTCTTGTTGACACAGTTAAATTCCTAGCGCAAGGACGGAAGGGATCTTGGGTACGTAAGGTCGTAAGAAAGGTTGGACAGCAAAGGCTGCTTTCACAGTGCCGGAGGAACTTAAGGTAGCTCGCTTAAACACAGCGTGCTCTGTAACTCCTTTTAATGACACAAGAGAATAAAAGTTTTGTCTTGGAGTCGCCACAAAGTAGGGAGGCCTGACACTGCGTACAGGACCACATTCCTGGACGGAACCAGGGGGATCCGAAGGGAGACGCGCAGGGGCGCGACAGGCTCTGCCTGCGCCGGCCTGGCCTCCAGCCGGACCCACGCAGTCCTCACGGGAAGCTCCGTTTCTCCTGCTTTTCGAGGCAGCCAGAGACAGAGGCGGGGCCTCGGCGCTGTGTGCTAGGTCGAGTCTGGGGCGGGGGGGGGGGGACGCCGGGCTGAGAAGCGTTAGGCCTATTTCCACTCATACAATACATAACTTGCTAATCCTACACCGAAAAACAGGCACTGTTTGCTTTGGATATGTTAATTAAATCTGAAGTGTTAGTATCTTCGGTTCCGAAAACCTGCTAAGATTGACAGTGAACAAACCCCGCCTCCTGTCCTTGCCTTGACCTAGAACTTCCCCTAAAACCCGGATGCGCGGAATCCGAGGGGGCTGCGCGCCCGCCGCAGAGCTGCGCATGCGCTGCGTCCGCGCGGGGCAAAGGTGGCGCGGCTCCGGGGGCATCTGCGTGCGTTCCGGCTTCTGGGGCCGGCCTGGGGAGGCGCAGCGGCTGACGGGCAGGTGAGAGCGCTGGATCCTCGGGCGGAAGCGCCCAGTTGTTGTGCGGCCAAAGAGCGGGGAGGAGGCTCGAGTTGGCCGCCGCTCCACCTCGCAGAGGTCGCCGGCTTCCTCACTGCAGGATATTTGGGGCGCGGGGGACCAGGAGGACGAAGATCCGCCTTTAAAATGGCCGTGGGCCGTCAGCACCTGCGACGGAGCGAGTGTGCATGGCGGGGGTGTGTGGATGATGTGGCGAGGGCTTCCTCGCACCGGCTCCACGTGCGCTGCTCCCTGCAGCCCGCGGCTTCTCGAGTCTGCTGCCTTCTGGCCGCTGTCCGGTGGGCACGTGGGGTCCCCAAGGCTTGTCGCTCCAGGACTGGTTGGGGGTGAGGCAGAAGCTCAGAGTGAGGGGTGCAGGCCGCCTGCTGGGGCCATGTTCGCCCTCCCCCCAAGCTGGGACCGGGTCCAGCTCCTGTTGTGGTTTCAGAGACTCTTGGTGTGGCAGATCCATTCATTCATAAGACCATCAGGTTTTCCAGTAATACGCATGGTCACGTGCCTGCTGCACAAAGGCACGTGGGTCACCTGGCTGCGTACACAGCGGTGGTCCCACAAGATTATAGAGAAGGGACTCCAGAAAACTAGTGATGGGGTCGCTGTCATACAGGAGTATAGCACATGCTAACATGTATGGTACTTAATGCTTGATGATAAGTGACTGTGTTACTCTATATGTTTACTTTAAGAAAAAAAGTTTGAAAGAAAGCGATGTTCGGCTGCTTTCCAGGCATATTAGCAGGAAGCTGGATCAGAAGTGGAGCAGCCAGGGCTGGAACCGAGGCACATACAGCACCAGCCCACATACCATACTTTTTATCATTATTTTTGAGTGTACTCTTTCAAGTAACAAAAAAGAACAAGAAACTTGTGCTTTGTTAACGTCAGTAGCAGCCTCGGAGATGTTTTCCACTTGCCATCACTGGATCAAGTCGCCGTGTCAGGCGGTTGACCTGCACCATCTAGGTTTGTGCATGTGCACTCTGTGACGTTCATACAATGGCAACCACCAAAACACAGGACGTTTCCTGTTAACTGACACATGACTGTAGAAGTGTGTGTCTGCAGTACTGCTTGATTGGATCCAACAGTGGTCAAGAGACATGAATCAGGCCATCCTCATCTTGGTCCCCTGAGCCTACTAGTCTTGCAAGCAGACACTAGGTGAACATTTGAAGATTATATTGCATATATTTAAACTGAAAAGTAAGCCCTAAATGATGTAAGCACTGGAGGTGTGACTGCATTTGCATCTAACTTTATGGTGTTTCTTAGTTTTGTTAATTGCAACCAAATGTTAGTCAAAACATTAGATGCTAACATATAATTGCTTTTATCAGCAGGAGTCTCCAGAGCGGCCTATTGTTGCATATGATTTGGATTTAAGATAATACATTTCCAATACTAACTATAGCTGCCATGTTTTCACTACTTCCCATTTTCTAGGCATAGTACTAAACTGTGAATGTATATAGTAATCCTCATAATGTGGCCCCAGCTTACAGATTACAGAACTGAGGCAGGAGAGAAGTGTTTGTGATGGAGGTCAGAATCTGATTCCCACTGTTAACTCAAAGCCTTTGCCCTTAAGTAGCCAGCAGTGTTTCTGGAAGTGCAGACTAAGTCCCAGTTGTACTCACGATTCATCACTTGACGACTCTACTGTCTTAACTATTTTCCGAGAAACAGACGTGAGATCATTCCCACTGCCTTTGCTACGTTGCTCTGAGTGTTTTAGATTTTCCCATTTCCTTCAGTTTTGGTGGCTCTCACCTAAGGAGTTTGAATCTTAGCAAGCCCTAGAATCTGATTACAGATTCACTCTACCCCAATCAAAATACTATCACAAAGTCCCCAGAACCTCTTTGCTTAACATCTGAGTATGTTTACTCCTAACTCACTGAAACAGCCCAGAGAAAGACCCTGCTTTTTAGGGATCTCTTCCCTTAGGCTGGGCATCTGCTTCAATCCTGTCCTTGCTAAATTCCAGGTTAATTCCAGCAGCACCTTTTCTTTAAGAAGTAAACACAATTATAGCTAACCTTTGCTGAGCCTAGGCTACATGCCAGATATTGTGTCAGCTGCCCAACAACCTGAGGAAGTTATCATCATGCTAATTTATAGATGAAATGGATATTTAGTGAGATTAAGTGACTCATCCCAGGCTGCACAGCCAGTTGTGAAATTGATAGGTGGAGATTCAAAGTCCAGGCCATGTAGTTCCACACATCTCATCCCCTCACTCACTATGTGATACAGCATTTTTTAAAATTTATTTATCTATTTGAAAGAGTTACACAGAGAGAGGAGAGACAGAGATCTCCCATCAGCCAGTTCACTCCCCAAATGGCCGCAGGGGCTGGGCCAGGCCGAAGACAGGAGCTTCTTCCGGGTCTCTCACATGGGTGGCAGGGGCCCAAACACTTGGCCATCCTCCGCTGCTTTTCCAGGCACACTAGCAGGAGCTGGATGGAAAATGGGGCAGCCGGCACTCAAACTGGCACCAATATGGGATGCAGGCACTGCTTAACTCGCTGCTCCACAGCGCCAGCCCGACGATGCTTTTTTTTTTTTTTTTTTTTTTTACACGCAGAGTGGACAGTGAGAGAGACAGAGAGAAAGGTCTTTGCCATTGGTTCACCCTCCAATGGCCGCCGCGGCCAGCGTACCACGCTGATCCGAAGCCAGAAGCCAGGTGCTTCTCCTGGTCTCCCATGCGGGTACAGGGTCCAAGCACTTGGGCCATCCTCCACTGCACTCCCTGGCCACAGCAGAGAGCTGGCCTGGAAGAGGGGCAACCGGGACAGAATCTGGCGCCCCGACCGGGACTAGAACTCGGTGTGCCAGCGCCGCAAGGCGGAGGATTAGCCTGTTGAGCCCTGGCACCAGCCCCGACAATGCATTCTTAAAGTGAGTTGCTGTGCTTTTTTCTGAAAACTAGTAGGCAAGAACTAGATCTTAGTGAGTTTTAATTTTACTAATTCAAATTTTAGGCTCTACTTAAATATGTCACTAAAGGCTTCTAAGCAAAGCAGGGACACAAGCAGATTTGAGGGTTTTGTAAGAGAGCTACATGAAGAGTGTAAAGAATGGTGTAGAGAATGGATTTTTGTGGTGTAGACCGGAGCGCTGGTTCTCTAATTTAGTCTCAGAGTTACCTAGGGAAGAGTTAGAGCTCTTGTAGAAGTCACCTAACAGGTTTTCTGGTGTATACTGGAAAACTGAGGGGTGTGTGGAATTCCCTAGAGAAACAGATCACTGGACACCGCCCTGAAGTTTCTGATTAAGTAGGTCAAGGGCGGAGAGGAGCCCAGGTGCTGTTAGTGCTGCTGCTGAGTGGACCACACTTTGAGAAGCAAGGTCATGTGAGGGGTCAGGGGCCTGATTGTGATCACAGAGACAGGTTATATAAAAGGAGTGCTCACGCCAGATAGCTGGATGTGGTGCCGACTTCAGGCGCGTGAGGAAGGGGCAGAGTCCACTCAATCCAGATTTCTCAATAGAATAGCATGGCAGACAAGGCTTTTATTTATTTATTTATTTATTTTAACTAAAGAAGGAAATGGAGGTAGGGGCTGGTGCTGAGGTGTAATGGGTTAAGCATCCACCTGCAGCGCCAGACTCCCTTTTGGGCTCTGGTTCGAGTCCCAGCTGCTCCTCTTCTGATCCAATTCTATGGTCTGGGAAAGCAGTGGAAGATGGCCCAAGTACTTGAGCCCCTGCACCCACATGGGAGACTCAGAAGAAACTCCTGGCTAAAGATTGGCACAGCCCTGATCACTGTTGCAGCCATTTGGGGAGTGATCCAGAGGATGGAGGATCTCCCTCTGCCTCTCAAGTAAATAAATATCTAAAAAAAAAGGAGCTGGAGGTAGAACAGCAGTTTAGGAGTAAAAGGATTCTTTTTTTATGTAAGATGAGTTTGGACTTTTTGTGGGAACAGCTAGGTAATGGTGAACTGTAGCAGTTGGATATGTGGGTCTGAGCCAAAGGTGTGAGAGGCTTCAGTGGATAATTATAGTAGACACATTGGGTATGAATTAGACCACCCAGGGAAGCAGAATATGGGAGAAAACGACCAGTGACAGATCCCGAATGCGGACAAACAGGTGGGTAGAAACTGATGGGCCATTAAAGGAGACCAAAAAGGATTGGTATAGAGCCCCGAGTACTT